CAATAAAAATATAGAATCAAAATCCAAATAAATCTCCTCTTTTTGTGGCTGGATATAAATCTCCTCTTTTGAAGGCTGAATATCCTGCGTATATTAAGGAGCCTGCCAAAAAAAGATTAAGCTAAATTGGTTAGTAGATTCGTTGATTACATTTCAAAATGAAATTAACCTTTTATTTGGCCAAATTTTTTAAATGATTTTCGAGAACTAGATTGAATTTTTAATTAATTGCTTTTGGTACAAATCTGATATCTGATCCTTTTTTTTTTTTTTTATGTTATAGCGATTTTTGTTGTCAAAATTTGATTTACATTGTGTGCTACTCATATTTATCATTTGGAAAACTACTTGCTATTCATATTATGATTTGAAAAACTAAATCTATTGTATAATGAAACAAAATAATTTCAAAAATCACATTTTCGATCGATGTTAAAAATGAAACTGTTAAAATAAAATAGATAATCACAAATCCATATTATCACAAGTCAATATATAATTAAATATAATTTTATATTCATAAATTATAATTAATATATATTTTACGGGTAGAAAATTACATGTGTAAATTAGCAATTACTATAAATATCGATCCACAATTGTCAAGTGCAAGATAATTTGCATGGAAAAACAAGAAGGATTTTAATAGTGTATGACTTTTTCATGATGAACATTTTCTTATTACCTGGTAAATGTCCTACGATATTATAACTTATTGATTAATATTAGCCTTTAATTATAAATTTTACCAAAACAAATACAGCCCGTGCATCGCACGGGGTTACGTACTAGTTTCGTAAAGAAAAATATAAGAAAAATAACAAAACTTACTATTTATAGGCTCCATTAAATTCTGACCTATTTTTTTACTACCATTTTTGGTAAATGGTAATTTTTATTATATATCTATAGATATAGATATTTATTTATAGGAAAATTCTAAAAGAACAACCTAGTTTACATCCCCCCTTACAACCAAATAGTAAGTCAAAAATTTTGACAAAAGAAGATTGCAAATTGACTATTATACCCTTATTTGTTTTTAAGTGTTAATAGGGATATAAAATGAATTACAATCTTACAGATATAAAACGAGATATGGAAATCTTGAAAAAACAGATAGAAGAGTTATTTAAATCTGTTCAACAACAGTCTAAAGATTCTAAACAAAATTTAGAACCTATAGCAGCTAAAATAATCAATGATATTAAGCAAGAAATTGCGGAATGTCCTTGTAAAAAAGAAAATAAAAAACAGAAAGAAATTTCTAGCCAAGAAAATAAAATACCTTTTCTAAAATATTCATATCCTAATGATTTAGTAGGAAATGAAGAATTAGGAAGTTCAGGAAATCCTAACGCTTTTAAATGGCCAAAAGATGGTTTGAAAAAATGAATCTTCAAGAAAAACTTGAGAAAAATCTTTGGAATCTAATTAATCTAGATTTGGATGATAAACAAGCTATTCAGCTTGAATATACAATTCGTTTTTTAGAAATGAATGAAGAACAATGTAATTCAGATTTGGAATCAAACCCTGAAATGAAAAAGTTGTTAAAACTCGAAGAACATGAACAATTTTATCAAATTGAGGAAACTGAAACTGACACTCAGTCAGAATCAGAAATAAATTTCAAAGATGAAGAAGAACTTCTAAAGGAAAAATTTAGAATGGAAAAACCAAAATCATCTGGAACAAAAGATGATCAAGAAATGAATACTGAAGAATTCGAAAGAAAACCATCAGTAACTCCTAGACCACCTAGATCTTCTAACAACAATGCCGGTATCCCTGGTATTGCCGGAGAAGTTCAGACAGCTTCAATCTTAGACTTAGACTGTAAAAAACCTGAAACAATTAAAAAATTAATTGATAAATGGGGACTAGAAATGAGTCTTGTGATTAATCTCAATCCAAGTACTTTCAATACAGCACAACTTGTGTTAGCACTTGCTGAGCATAGAATGCTTGGAAATGCACAAAATTTTATAAAAAGAGTCCAATGGGATACTCAAAATGTAAACCCTGCAGTTATGCTTGAAAGCATTCTGAACAGTCTTTATACTTTTTTTTGGGCATTGATCGAGTATCAAATGCAGAAAATGAAAAACTTATAGAGCAATCTAAAGCTAAGGTAAGATTAAATAATCTGACTCTTTGCGATATTTGTTACATTGAGGAATTCAATTGTGATTTCGAAAAGAATCTTTTCAAAATAGATTTTGGAGAACATCCTGAATACATTAAAATGTATTTAGCAAAAATTCCTATTGTAGGAAATGATGCTTCAAAAAAATATGAAGCAGCTGAAAATCTTATGAAATATAGTTTCGGTTATGCCAAAAGACTCGTAAGAGAAGAAATTGAAAAAATTTGTAATGCTACTATAAAGCAAAAACAAATGAAAAAATTTAACAGAAACTGTTGTTCTAAAATTTCTGAGAAACCTACAGAATATGGTTGCAAACCATATAAAAGAAAATCTAAGAAAAATTACTCTAGAAAGTATAAGTACCAGAAAAGAAAGAAGAGAAAAACTTTTAAACCTGGTAAATATTTCAGAAAGAAACAAAAATTTCAACCCAAGAAAAACTTTTGTCCAAAAGGGAAAAAGAATTGCAGATGCTGGATCTGTAACATAGAAGGTCACTATGCAAATGAGTGTCCTAATAGACAAAAATCTGAGAAAGTAAAATTTCTCCAGATTGCAGACTCATTTGGTCTTGAACCAATTGAAGAAGAATTATCACTCAAATGAAAAGGAATATCTTGCGGTAATAAAAACCATAAAGAAATTTACAATTTATCTTACTCCTTATAAATTTACTGTTAGGACAGATAACAAAAACTTCACTTATTTCTTAAAAACCAAGATGAAGGGCGATAGTAAACAAGGTAGACTTGTAAGATGGCAGATGTGGCTTAATCAATATGAATTTGATGTGCAGCATATTGCAGGAAACAAGAACGTCATTGCAGACTTTTTATCTCGAGAATTTAACGACCTTTGATAAAATGTTCACAGGATTAAGGCTCAATGGAGCACATAACCAGTCACAGGCGGTGACAATAGGGAGTTGCTTCCCAGGCATGATTTATGCTCGATAAAGCATCATCTATAATGGATGAATTACAACAACTTCAGTTGCAAGAAGGACTTCTGGTCCAAGAACTTGAATTGGTTCGCGCCAAAATCAAGTATGTAAGCTTGTTTAAAGCTGAACAAAAAAGAGATTCTACTGTCTCTATTCCAGCAATGGAACAAACGAGTAATGTAACAAGCCTAGCTTGTGAACAAAAAGAGGAAATTTCATCTCCTCCTGATCTTATAGATCTTGAAGGTGAAACTAGTCCAGAGCAAACGGCTACTGGTAAAGACTTATCAAATCCGTTAATAGCTAGCAACTTGCTAAAAGCGGCAATAAGTATTAAATTACCAACAACGTTGGATAATTCTGATGGTTTAAACCTCAGACCGAACGGTGGAATTTCTGTTCCT